AAAGATAGAGCGTCAAAAACTGCATAAGATGATATATTTGAAATTTGATTATGATCTAGTTTTGAGAGACGTTTCTTCAAAAGAAAGTTTTGGAAAACACGACTTATTCCGATTTTTGACGTTTTAAAACGTCACCCGTCCCCAAAGGGACGGACAACTTGATTGTTCAGTATTACAAAAACGAGACTTGTTTCTCGACAAACTTTGAAGGATGGGTATAGTTATCCGTTTACGTTTGATGGGACTATTTTGTATGTAAAAGGATATGATGTTTATCAAATATCTAATAGCAGTTCAATATTCAAAACCATTTCAAATAAAATCATCTACAAAAAAGTATTTGCATAGACATATGGTTAAGTCTTCCACAGGGATTTGTTGTTTGCGTGCAGCAATTAACCTCAGTACCACTACTTTTTATAGAGTTGAATAAAAGATGAGGTTAGAGATGAGGTTAAAAAGTTCCGCATTTTTTAGATTTTTTACGGATATATTATAGCTATATCAGAATATTTGATCCTCTCATTCGAATCTTCAATATTAATTATGATACACCCTTAAGAAATTAAAACATCTATTGAACTGTACAAAAATTTCCTATCTTGACCAATGAACCTGTCTTGTATTCTAAGCATAATGCTCATACACGAAATAAGAGAATTTTAGAAACATTTTCATTAATAATATCTGTGATTACAGGTGATATTGTATCATAATATTCTCATTTAACTTCAATTACCAATTAATTCAAACATTTATATACTACACGATTAGAATTAAAGTCTGTCTAGATTTTATCGAGAGTTAGAGCTTATTATGCGAGTAACGATCGGCATTGAATCAATGTACTAGAATATATCTAGTTATCAAAGTAGAAAGATTTCATATTAAAAGTAATTTAAAACGTGTTTTCTTGCAAATTTCCAGTTTATAATTGCTTTTCATTCAATTAAAACTTTGAGATGATTATCCACGTTGCTAAATAATCTAACATCAATTATGTTGACTGTTTTTCTTTCGAACTTGCGCTGTATTTACTCCTAAATTGATAAAGTTAAGCTCTCTGCTTTCTATTTTTGTCTATTTACTAAATAAAAGTACAAAAGATAATCGAACATGTCACAGGTGAAATTCACACAATAAAAATTTGGGTGTCACACATAGAAAAGAAAAAAAATTATTCAAATAGAACTGTTTGTGGATTTTGAATAGTATTTTGAGGTTTATACGTTAAAAGTGGATCTGTTGATAATACTAGATGAGTAGTAGTTGATGGTAATCGATGATGTTTTTGTGGTTGTTGTTTTAGAGCATTTGCTGAAGTCGATTTGGTAAAACTGTGGGGTGCTGATTGGCCCACACGAGTAGAACGAGAACTGGAATCTGATGCTCTAACCGGTAATGAACTTAAGCTGAGTGTTTGTCTTTGCATAACTCTGGACGTTGGTAATTTATTTATTCCAAAACGGAGATCATGTCTCGAAGTCAGAGCAGGATCAATAATTGGACTTGGTATTGTTTGATCAAATCTAATCTGATTTGAGTGTTGTTTCTGTAGTCGAGCAGGTGATGAATGAAATAATTTTGAGGATGATGATGTACGAGCAGAGATTTCTATGCGCGATAATGGTGGTACAATGGTGTCAGACGGATTGCCTTCGTTTTGAGTGGAAGGATTTCGTTTATTGTTGAAACTTCGTCTGTCGTTTGATCGAAATTTTATATTCGAGGACATAAGACGATTGGATAATTTAGTTGTTGAAGTCGACGATTGAGCACTTAACATTCCATATTGATTTGATACAGAAGGAACATTGGTTATTGTAGGTCTAAAATGATCAACATAAAACTTAAAATTCAATTCAAAAACTTTCAAAGACTTTTAAAGATCTCTGAAACCACTGATGCTCATCACTTGTTGGATGAAATCAGTACTAGTACTTATGCTCAATTCTAACTTTGATATAAGATACTTCTCTCTTTTCGTCTCGGATCCGTTATTCGCGGAAGAAACCATAAGCACAGAGAGTAGGAAAATTAGATAATGCGATTGTCAAAATGGTTTTGAATACTGATGTTATATATGTGTAATGTGTATGTAAGATGAAATAAGACCACTAATTTAGTATAAAAGAATAGAAGTTTGCTATAGAATACTAGACATATTAGCTAGTATTTATCAAACGTAAGGTAATGCAAGTGATCAAGTCGTCAAATTTCCAAGTACAATGAGCTAGCACCAAGTCTAAAACTTATGTATTAACAAATCTAGGAGTTCTAATCTCTTCAGACAGGTAAACTTCTCCATTTTTACCAGTGATATACATCGATCCTTTCTCCGATGTTGGTCCGATATTGCCTATTATCTGAGTATTATGAAATTCTCATGATAGTTCTCTTCGATGACCTACTCCAAAAAAGTTTAGGATACAAACTGCTCTTCTCAAAAGATCGGTCATTCATTCTGATCGAGAATATTTATATGTCTATAGATGAAATGCAATTTTATCCTATCAAGATGAGATAAAGGACCAGCATGTCAAATGTTGAAGAATCGTTCAAAAATAGGTGAAGATAATGTTATACTGTAGTTAATTCAGAGATTCAATGTTGTAAATCTGTAATGTGAGATGCTCCTCATGAACTTAAATAATAAAAGAATGAAAAACGACAATAGGACATCGACAGCGCACCTTCAACATTATATTATGTGAATGTAATAAAGATGTAATACATGATAGTATGATAAATGCAGATAAGACGAGTTCTGTAAGTATTGCAGCGAGTGAAAGCTAGAGAATGGCCAAATACTTTAACATAGCTTATACAAGTACTATGTGCATTGTTATTATTATGTCAAGTACGTACTGAGTATTATTATTGAAATTTGTTGGTCTGTTGTTATAATTGACAATCTTAGACACATATTGAAACTGTTGTTTTCCTCTATTATTCGCCGTACTAAAGTTTGTTGTTGTTGTTGTTGTTGCTGCTACCGACGGTCGATTTGTTCTATTTCGTTGTGTTCTCACTTGATGTTTAAGATAATCTCTGAGTCCTTGTAATGTGCGAAAAGTTGATTGTGTAACACGTGTAAACGGATTTTGTCCCGGTAGTATGTCAAGTGCAGCCAATGCACATGCTTTTCCAACATCTTTATAATGCTCCTGCGTGAGTTTTTGAGGTAATGAATATCTAAATGTATTAAACTTTCTAAATTAGTACAACTTCTTATTGAAAGACATCAGCAAACAGAGATAAATGTAAATTAGTTACGTACGGACATGGTGGTGATATACGACCAAATTGTTCATTTTCAGCAGCAGGAATTGATTGACACGTTTTGCCAACAGCATAAGAACATTCCAGTGTATAAGAGTGAATTAGACCTAAACAGATGACATAAATTCACTAAAGTTTAATCATACATTTACGTCGATAAATCCTTACCGAGATGTTTATAAAGCGCTACTCTTCCACTTCCTTCTTTCGATAATCCTTCTCGTTTGTCTTTCATGTACATATTTTTTACTGTAAAATTACAATTATCATAGTCGAAATGTGGTGAGTTTAATGAAATCAGTTTTGCAAATAAAAGATTATCCGTGTGCATGTCATCATCTTGCAAATAATTTCCATAGACAAAACATCCTTTTTTACTTGCATGACCATGTAAATCAATATAATAACATATACCACTTTCATATGGACTAATTTTTAATAACTCAACACTCGATAAATGTGGAGATTTTGCTTCAGTAATCGTTGTAGCGGTGTTTGTACCATCTTTTTGTGCAGCAGTAGCCGAACATTCATCTTCATCGTCCGATCCCTCATTACCTAAACAAAATAAAATCAGTCATGATTGTAAAAATCCTTCAACTTAGATAATAGAAAGTAATAGGAAAATATAGCTATTTTTTTGTTCTATGTAGCTTACCTATATGATAACCTTCTTCATCTTCTACAGTTAAATCTCGATATAAATCTTGATGTAATTCTAAATTTTCATTAACAAAATGAAATGAATATGGTGATGATTTTTCAATTTCATTAAAATTTTCTGTTGTGTGAATTTTTGTTTCTGCTCGATCAAGAAAAAAGTTTTGCGCATCAATATCTGTTGAATCAATTCCATTAATAATTTCTGTTTGTTCTTGTTGATGTTTTTGTAGATAGGGTGCCTCACGAGTGAAACAAACGATTGTTTTTCTAGGACTTTTCGTCAATGTGCAATCAACTGTTGGTGTTGCTATATTTGATACCTCATGATCGTATATAATTTCTTTGCAAAAATGAGAAGTTTTCGATTTCGAATGATTTGTTGTTGTTAGAGGCTAAAAATCACGAATAACTTTTTAGTAATTATTGATCAGAGCATAATTAGTGATAAAAATGTATAGGAACCATTTGTGAGAAAGATAAAACGAAATCGTATGGATTGCATACTATGCAACAGATACAAGTTTAACAAATGAATATGTATTCAAAGTTGTTAGTAAAAGCTAAGATATCAAAGACAATATTTAACAATTCTTAAAATGCTCGCTATGAATATTGTTATATACAAACATTCTGTTGGCTAGTTATATATAAAAGTAACAACAGACACTAATTGAACCATAGTCACGTTGTAAATTCTATTTTTCATAGAGATAAAAGATAAAAAAGATCTGTTTTTATAGTATTCAGTTGATTAATCTATTAAATGAGCAAAGAATCAAAAACGGTAGGTCCTGAATGATTCGAGCAAATTCAGTAGTTAAACCTAAAGAGAAGAAAGTGTCAGATGAAAAAAATTTCCTTTTTCTTTTGTACGTCTGATTTTTTCAAAACCACATTTTGTGTGATCAGACTTACATATGCCTGTCTTCTCAAATAAAGGTTATAAATATTCTCTCAAGTACATCAATTTTTGCTTTTTCATTCACATAACACTTTAAATAATTTAAGTAAGGGGCAGCAGAGTTCATAGAACTTTGTATTAGTAAAATTTTCAAGATTAGCAAAAAGAATTCAAGAATTAATATTGAATCTTTTTTCAATCTCTGAAATTACAAAAAATCAGAATTCGACCAATTCAGAATTAGCAGAAAGAATTCAGCAATATATATCAAACTTTTTTTTAATTCAAGGATTTAGAAATTGAAAATGTGACTGTTTATCAATTTCTTAATTTCGAAAAAATCAAAAACTCTTTAAATTTTTATTGAATTGGGCTTGAATAATTCTTGGAATTCAAGTATTCAGGAATTGAAAGAATATATAAGTTTTTAATTCCAGAAAGTCATAAATCCACGAATTAGGTGGGTCAGGGTGGACTTCTTCCCTGGATCTTATTCTGGCTTGCCGTAGAAGATTAGGTGCCATGTACCGTAGTTTTAAGGATGCACCAATCCTGGTGAGGTTAACTGTTTTCAAGGCATGCATTCTAAGTAAATTAGACTATTGTTCGGTTGTTTACGACACTAAATTTCCTTATCATAATTCTCGCATTGACTCTATTGTTAAATTGGCTGTGCGAATTATATTTAAAAAGTTTGATGACTCTGTTTCTAAATTAATAGAGAAATTAAATTTACCAGATTTATATAAAAGACGTAATTACTTCAGATTGCTTCATTTTTATAAGATTCTCCACAATCATTCCATTCTTTCGGATCTCAATCTTATTCAGTATAATACCAATAGGCATTCTGGCAGGCTAAACCATTCTAGAGCAGTTAGGGTGGCTGATATGCTCAAGACCTATACCACCCTGTATTCCTTTTTTCACAGAACGGCAATTAAGTGGAATGGCTTACCAGAGCACGTGGTTACAGCTAACAGCACAAGTTTGTTCAAGCACAGACTAAAGAACTTCTTAGAGCTTTAATTCTTTATCTTTCTCTCGTTCTTTTTGTTTATTTTCTTTGTCGAAATTAGAAGGGTCACAGTCTAATAAGGGCAGTATGCGCTTTTTCTGTTTTTTCCCCTGCAACAACCTCTTTTGATTTTAGTTTATTGTATTGGTTCTTTTTACTTTTTTGTTGTCAAATAAATGTCTAAGTCTAAGTCTCTTCAAGTTTCGCCAGCTCCACAACAAACATTAACATTTCTCATCTTAATTTCAGGATTTCTACAAATCATTAACCAACCGACTTGGAATGAGAAGGTGTGTAAAATTCTATAATTTTCGAAAAATCCAAATAATTACAGTTCCGCTTAGATGAACCAGTTCCAGAATTCTTATAAAGGATCTCTAAAATCCTTGCATTACAAACTATTCTTTGGATTGAGAAAAATAAAAAGTGTTTCTCAGTTATTGAATTCCTCAATTCTTAAATATTCCTCAAATTGAAAAAATGTAATTACAATTTTCGAATTCTTGAATTAAAAAAACGCTTGATGTTTATTTCTGAATTCTTTCTCGGGGGAAAATTTTCTTGAAAATTTTATCAATATAGAGTACTATGAATTCTCTGACCCTTTATGATATTATCAGAGCTTCCCAAACAGAATTTAGTCGGATATATTTTAATTTCATCAAATATCCTGATTATGCAAATAAATGAAGTGTCTCCCTCTCACCTGACCTAGTGTATTCCATTCATTTGTTTGTTCATAGCCCATAGTTGTTGTAGCTGTTTGTAAATATTCCATACCATCTGTTATAGATGATTTCAATTTTGTATAACGTTGTGGAGGTGCTCGAATCAATGATGATGATGTTTCACTGACCACTGAACTACTGCCCATTGATCCTGTTGATATTTGACGATTCACGCACGGTGTTGTCACCTGAGGAGGAACTATTGTCACTTCTTCTTTTCGTTTTTGTATTTCTTCGTCAGGCATCACATTTTCAAATATATCATAGATAGTTAGTTTAGAAGTTGAATTTGAGCTATTTTGCTCAATTTGATTGTTAATATGATGATAGATAAGTAAACTTTTTGATGCATAAACACTTGGATGTTTGTCAAAATCAGGATCTAAAACAACAAATTTTCATATGTTTAATCTTTGAATAAAATTATTTTTAATATTTATAATCCGAACACATACCCAAGTACATTCTATTTAAATTTTGTCCTAATTGATCTGTTCGATAATGGCCACGTTTGACACCATCTGGATTTAGAATTGGTATCAATTTAAATATATACCAATCACGTAATAATTTTGCTCTTAAATCATCAGATTTAAGAATGAATTCTAAAAACCCCAAGAATACAAATGAAGCAGGAGTTTCACCTAGAATGTAAAAATAAAAAAATGTAATGTTTATATAATTTTCATTTATATTTAATTTATACCTGGATGTACACGACTAGATAAAAAGAAAACTCGTTTATTTTTAAATTGATGTGGACGTAATGTTTGACGACTTTCAGGAAATAATTTTTTATCAAAATGATGTTCTCGTTCTTGCATTATACCTACAATGAAATATGTTATCTATTTTATCTATTATTATTTTTCATGAAATTTTGACCTTTGTAAGATGTTATTGTTAATAAATCAACTTTATTTCCATCTAATGAATAGCATAATGTTTCTCTATGATAATAAATATCTGAATTTACCGTGCTTGACTTTTGATTTGTTAAGTGTAAATAACGTTCAGCTAATGTTGATCCATATTGTGTATCATACATGGCTAATAGTTCTTGTGTTTCTTCATACGAATATGGAAAACAAAAGGCAAAATAAGTAACAGATGTTTTCATATCGACAATACGATGAGTAAATGACATTTTGAAATCATCTTCCAGTGTTTCCCATATTGGACGAGTATACAAACGAGACCATTTTTCATGACTAGGAACTGTTCGAAAAACAGGTAACATTCCTAAAAGTAGAAAAAAAACAGTTTATTCAAAATTTTCATTCAGTATTAGAACTTATTTTTAAGATCAAAAATCATCCTTACGATTGATTTTTAGAATTTTATGTAAAATGAGTAATTATTTGATTTTTAAACATGACAAGACATTTCCAAAAGTAACAGGATCTATGTTCATTCAACAAAACGAATGAAATTGAAGATTTACCCATTTCAAATAGTCGTGCTTGTCTATTTAAATTCATAATGTTAAATCGAATACATTTTCCGTGTCCACCTTTAACTCCAAAATAGAACCACGATCGATTTGAATTAACTTTTAAACTATTTTCACAATCACGATTAGTCCATAAATTAAATTCCAGATCATATTTTGGCAATGTATGAGTATTCAATGTTGTTGTTTCAGATGATTTTTGTCCATTATCACCGTTAGTTTGAGCATTATCAGTCAAAAAGTCTGCTGTTGAGGTTTGACTTTGAACACGTTCATAACGTGCCATATTGCCAGAATCAAAATTAGAAAATAATTGAATATCATCATTAATACCCATTTTATCAAGAATGGTTGCCTAAAATATCGAAGCCTAGTAGAAAAATACATGACATTTTAGATTATATTGAACTGAAAGTCAATAATTATTTAATAACTACGGACCAATGACCAATAAGAAGATACCTGACGCTTGGAGATACTTGAAGACTGAATAATGAATTGCATTATAATTAATTATAACTGATTGAAATGAAAACTTTTTCTTAAAATAGCTGTTCTGTGACTGGAACAGAAATACATACATTCAGTTTTTCGATGATCGTGAACTGAACGCATTTTTAGAAAGTTTAACAGTAAGGAAGTGATGAACTTATTTCAAGCTTAGTAAACTGTTTATACCTGATTATTCTGTTGTACTGTACTGTAGAAGAACAGTCATTTTCAACAAATGATGTTTTATATTGTTTTTCTCTCCGAATTCCTTCAAAGCAATCAGAAAAACTATTTTTAGCCAGAACAAAAACAAGCAATTGACTTTCATATTTGCTCATTTCATGTTTGTTTATTTTTTTGAAATCCACCATTCGAAAACCAACCATGGTCAAAGACGGAAACTATGGTTTATCCTCTCTTCTGTTAAAGTAATCACTGCATTACTTTATATCAAGTATGTTTTCATCCGACAATCGCTACTGTCAACGTATTTTCAACTTAAGGAGCATTAACAGTCGCGACTGTCGGAAGAAAAATTAATATCGGACACTTTATCTTAACCAAATATGAAGCGTTTCACCTTCATCTGAAGTGATATTTGGTCATGATTTATTGGTTGTAGATCCAATGCTACAAACATGAACAAAGCAAGCGATTTTAGAAGTAACTAAATCAAGAGGATCCAAGTCTTTTTTTGTTGATGCAAATTATGTAGATAGATACAGTGGCGGCGCGATCGCGGTTTCAAAAAACTTTCGCTCTGATTTACTCCGATTTTATGATTAAGTATTACGAGAGCGCCACTATTCGGATAAAATTAAATCAAATTAAATATCAGTTAGAGAACAGAAAAAGAAATTTTCGTCCTAGGTCGAATCCACACGGCAGTAAACTACAGTTTACGTCAAAATACGACGAAAGGAGCCGTGGAGAAGGATTACGACTGTCGTAAACTGTGGTTTATGATGAAATACGACAAAATACGATGACAGTATTACGATCATTGTAGTACTTCTCCACGAAACACGCCAGATTACAACGAAATACTATCGTAAACGTCAAAACACGACGTCGTAATTAGACTATTATGACCGTCGTAATCATCGTCCTGGGGTATTCGTTCAATTATTCTTCATTCTGTACGAACAATTTCTATCCTATATTTACTAGTTTCAGTCAATGATTAAGAAAATGGAATTTTTGTGCCATTTACATATTTCACAATTTTTGTTTTTCACTTGATAATGACCGATTAAAATCGAAATATTATGAATAAATGTAAAAATGTTTTCATTTTACTCAACTGCTATAATTCTCAAAAATTTGTTCAAAAATTTTGCCCATTATTAATCTCGTGCATTGCCGTTTATTTTTCGTCTAAAAAAAATTTGAAATTATTCTAAGTGTGAAAACATTTGGACTTCCATACGTTAAGAGTGTAAGGCAAATCAGTAAATACAAGAATTGTCAAAATCTCTGATACAAGATCTTCAAGAATTCAAGGTGGGGAAATCTAAAATTTTGAAAACTTGAATTTTCATTTTATTACGTGGTAAACAAGAACATGTTTTTCAAGCATTTAACATTTACTCTAAAAATAAAAAAAAGTGCATTTTTTGTATTTGTCCCATATAGAGTACGGGTTTTCTGTTCTTCATAAGTTCTTCCACATTCTAGAAAACTTGGATTCTTTTTGAAAAGCCAAAGAACTCAATATGCGTTGATTTTGTGCTCTTCACAGATTTGAAAATCAGTTTCTTGTATCGCATCTTGCAGTCGAAGTGCTTGAGCGTTAATAGAATATTCATGTTGAACAGATTTTGTTTTTGGTGCTTAGAATAATACTTTTTATTCTTTTTTTACAAAATATCACTTTGTAAAAAAATAGCAGAAATTACAATACCATGATCTTTATCGTCCATCTTAACAGATGCCTGGCATTCTCTTCCAAAGTTAAAGTTAAAGTACGAGCTATTTACTCTTAAATTCAGAGCGCAAATAAGAAAATTGGAGTAAAACTTTAAAAGCAAGGATCTGTCCCAGTCGGGTACCCCTGACGTTTCTGCAATGCTTACCCCGAGAAATAGTGAAAGAATAAAATTTTTTTCTTTGACATATAATAACTTTTACACTTGCCGGTACGCTTAACTCGTCGTTAAATTCACAGGAGACATGACTAAATGAAGGATATTACACCCGCGAGGATCTTTTTCTCACACCGTGCATTCAGTTTGAGCCACATTTTTAGGAAATCTATATCTTTATGTAAATAAGTTATAAAACAACTGAAGTACGAAATGTTGAACCGTTTAAAAAAAATCTCATAGTAAATTTCGCCGATTCCTTGCAATTGTAGACGACTTTTTATCATCAACAAGGTAAGAAAATAAACAAAAACTACCACAGTAAATTTCATACAAAGAATTATACAAAAAAAAATGCTGTCATAAGAAAACAATTCAATCTATAGCGTTCATGCAAATTCCATTGTTTATAGGTAAACTTACTAGAGCAATGGAGTCAAAGCACGTTTAATATTGTTTCTCCTTAACGATAATTTTAACTTCTTTGCGTAAAATGGGACAAATTGTCCGAGAGTGTATTGTACAATGAGACTAATATTGAGATGACATTACTCACAAAAAATGATGCATCTTATCGAAAGTGGGACATCTGGCAACTCTGGTCTTGAATAACGTTTGAATTGATGTTCTTGTTAGTAACACTTTAGAGAGAACAAGGGAAAAGCAATTTTCTGATACTTTCCTCAAGAAACAACAACGGTTAATCAAGAAATAGAAGAATAATGAATGATTTTAATTTCTTACTATAATATTTTTAAGTTTGTATCTGTAAGAAAAATAAAATTAGAAGTTTTTTCACATGGCCACGTGTACTAATTCTATTTTTACATTCGTCCATTTCTTTTTTCAAACGTATAGGCACTTTGTTAATAGAACATATTATAGCCGATGACTGTATTGTGACAAACCGAAGAACATAATTCTTCTCTTGCTCTCTCTATACGAGTTATTATCTTCTGTCTCTGCAATAATGCCAATAAACTAAAATCTATTCACAATTAAATTAAGTAAGATAGTTAACAAAAGTAAGTTAACAAATCTGTTTTTAAGACAACTTCACATTCTTCTTTGCATTTGGTTACCTCTACTTTATTATATGACAATTTATGTCGAAAAAGTCAAACTCAAAGATGTTCGTATTTAATCCTAATAAAAAAGGATAAAAAGGGGTCTCTAAGAGGATGTCGATCAACACCCAATCTAGTTCAAAACACTTAGTATCTTTAAGAAGAAATTTCAAATTATAATTTTAAGTTAGCTGATCAACAAATTTTTCTTCGATATATACATTTTTTATATTTCTAGTGTCATTTCAAGATAGTCTTGTTACCTCAACGTCTTCAAATGATGATGTGTCATCAGCAATTCAAACAAAAGATTTTATTGCTTTGAGTATTGGCGTTATTTCTGTTTTATTGGTTATTCTCGTAGTTGTCATTTGTAAATGGTCCGAATGGTCATGTTTGAAAAAACGTAATAACACTCATCATTTAATTCTTCCACCAGCATCATCAACAACAGCTACATCGACACCTCGACATAATCAAGAGTCAGATATTTTACGTCGATCTTTTCATAGTGTTCAAAATCATAATTATCGTTCTCCACCAACATTTCGTTTAGACAGCATTATACCACCACAAATACCCATGAAAATGACAACATTAAATGTACAACCACATGTTGTACCGCGAATATCGATTAGTCCACAAATATCGGGATCATCACTAACTACTCAACAATATTCACCATACAAGTAAATAAAATAAACAAACCTGTATACTTTAAACTGTGCTTTTCTTGTTTGCATCTGTCATATTATTTTTTAAAATTATTTATTGAGAATAGCAAAACATTTATGTTAAATAAAAAAACTACGGTAGTGTGCGTAGAGTGCCGAGAATTAACCGAATGAGATTCGGATGCTCTCTCAAAATCTCGTCGCTAGATTTGTTTTATGCAACTCGTATTTGTTTTTGACCTGAATAATAATAATTAACGTAGTTATTCGATAAATAACACCAGCTGCAGCGGGGGCAATTTTGACTAGGGACGCGAACATGTGCTGTAGAAGTAGTACGAAAATCTATAAACACGCTTTTTATAGTTTTTCGAATATGCTCTTTCCAATGGTGAGATTTTCCAAATCCAAAACATTTTTTATGGGTTTTCTACAGATCCGGACTTCAGAAAATCCAGAAAAAATTATTTTTGGATTTGGAAAATCTCACCATTGGAAAGAGCATATTCGAGAGAGTATATTCTAAAGTCTACAAAGAATGTGTTTATAGAGTTTCGTCCAGCTACTAAAACGAATATTTAAATACCCACGCAAAATTTGTTGCAATAAAAGCTCCTACGCTACGATTCAGTTTGGTCGAAAACTGTTTTGTATAAAATGTTTCGACTTATACATCGTTCGATGCAGTTTTTGATGCTGATTCCAAATATCATTTTACATTTAAATAAAAATGTTTCTGAGCCGAGAAAAATGGAAAATACCTTGGAAAACTACGGGTTTTTGAAAAACCTGTATCTTAGTTCTGGATGTTTTGCATATTTTTGCGCATTCACTATTGATGGGGGACATGTAGAAGAACATTCTGTAAAAATTTGGACGAATTTGAAGTCGGGATGTGGAGGGGACCCTCATTTTAGTGAAACTAGCCGTTCAGAAAACACTTAGCTTAAAAGTGAAAGATATTGTTTCACTGAAAAACAAGCAGATACTGTTTAAAGTGAAAGATATTAGTGAGAAACTCTTACATAATCTGAAACTACACCTCTCACTCTATCGATTTATAAAAAAACAATTTGTTGTAGCTCTTTGCTGTTCGGATAAATTATTTTTCTTCCCACGCTCGGTTTCTGAACAAAATTTTTCATAAATATTTTCCAAAAAACCATGGCAGTTGGTGCACAAATTTTTATGTCATTAAATAGAGCGTATTTCAAAGTATATTTGACACTATTTGAATATTAAAAAAGTGCACTTTCATCTTTTTTACCTAATGTCCACGTGATCGTCCACTGTGTAGCATTAATGCCACCATCATTCATATATTCATCGAGTATGTCATATATTTTACGTAAAACAAGAAAAATATGTGTGAAGAATGAAATACTTATAGTAGAATGATAAAAAACATGATCGATCAGAAATGTAAAGCAAACCTGACTAGCAATTTGACTATATCTTAATGTCTATTTAATTTACGTATGAAACGACAATAGATCATATGAATGTTTACTAATAGATTCTTAAACTAATTCCAACAAACAAAACCGTTAATTAAATGTCATCATTAAAATCATCAGAATATCCATATTTAAAAATAACTTTTATATTTTCAAAACAGCTTGTTGTAGTACTCATATCAGTTTTTTATGAAATAAATCACACATATTGTTTATGAAAATACCAGTTCATACAATTTTTGATCTTTATTTTTTGAGTTCTTTATGTCGATAAAAAGCTTGTTTTAGTTTTTTGAAGATCTCGAATTCCTACATGTTCAAAAAAATTTTGTAAAGTTTTTTAACAGAGTAAGTGTAAACTATTTTAATTTTTTTTCATTAAAAAATTTAGATTTTATAGGTATCCTAAACAGTCTTCAGTTGTAAGCTGTGATGCCGACATGTTACCGCAAGGGAGAAACAGCGAATTGTGGATTTTTTCGATTTTCGTTGATTTTGGATGATTTTGAGCTGATTTCAAACAGCTATTTCACCCTTGTGTTACTGTCATTCACTGTAAGAAAAAATTTTTCGAAAATTGATGGTCTTTTTATACATTCAGAACATTGAAACAAAATGGTGAATGACTTCTTTACAGATTATCCATCGAGGATCTCGTATCGTATTATTAAAGTTCTTAGACGGATCATAGAAGACCAAATGTTTCGTTCAATTAAGAGTAACGACACAATCAAACAGTTTCACATTGTAACAAGCGAAAGTGTTGAATTGGAAGTGCTGTGTATGTTTTATCTTGAATTAATAGTAAACATTGTTGCATTATGTTTTCGAAGAAAGAGTTAACTACGTTTTATGGAACATAGTGAATGAATTGTTTCTATAGTTTATTTGATAGCGTAAATCAAAAACAACAACGAGTATAACAATGTAAAAAAAGACAACTCAATAATAACAAAAAAGTTATCTTCTTGAATTTTGTTTAATTCCTAGTAGTGCTGCTCGACTATATATATCGTGTTTTGAAAATGGAGATGAATCTGCTAAATAATCATCATCAAGTACATTTCGTTTCATAAGTGATTTTTTTGTTGGACGATTTTGTGGACGAGGTTGATCTTCAACTCGAATGGGATTATTTGAATGTTTACCACCACGAGGCAATGGCAGAGATTCCTATTAACAACGAACAGTTAATCGTTGACATATAACATTTTCTTTGATCTTAAAACTTACCCTTGGTTTTGGTCTAAATCGTCCATTAACATGATAATGTCTTTTTCCATCCGAATCGACCGTTACACTTGCTCGTTGTAAAGTGGGATTACCACATTCAGGACAAAAACGTTTTGTCATTGCTAATGTAACACTAAAATCATTCAAAAGAGATAAGTGATTGAATATAAAATAAAAAAATGCAACATTAGCATTGTACAAAAAAATGCTATTCGATTAAATAAATTAGTTAGATTTTTTCAATCACTCTACAATTGTAATTGAGATTTCGAACGATTAATTGTCTCATATTTACCCCGAACACACATGACATTTTAACACATAACTTCGTGCTGTTCGAATCAATAGACCATCGACAGATAGCACAGGTATTCCAAGTTGTATAAGAACATTCTAAACAAACATCATTGTAACCGATCATTGACTTTATCAGCATGAACAATACCTGCATGGAAAAATCTGTTGTTATGCAAGCAACGGGAAGATTTTCCATTGTGTTATCATCTACTGTCTCACCATTATTGACAAGTTTTGATCGAATAACTTTTATATTCGATGGGGTTATCCAACCTATAAAGAAAAACACATTTAAATCTGCAATTTAAATAGTGTACTAAATATAAATATCGTCTTTATGTGAACTTCTTTGTTAGACAAAACGATTCTTTCAAGAGCTTGTTGTCGTACCGTCATCTTTGTCATCATCATTTTGCTCAATTTCAACTTGTGCAATGAGATTGGAGATGTTGTGTTCATCATCCACTGCTGTTGTAAATGATTCTGCATCATCATCCTCTACTTCTTCTTCTTCTTCTTCTTCTTCTTGTTCTTCTACTGTATTATTATTTTTTGGCTCTGTTTCTGACTTCAAATCACTGTTATCACATGTAACATTTGAATGTTGTTCATTTTGATCAGTTTGTAAGATCTAACAAAAAAATAATCAATAATTTACAAAATACTACAAAATTATTTCTAGTCTCCTACATCTTTTTTTGGATATACAAATCCGGCTAGTTTAATTCCCTTATTTCCAAATGTTGTTTCACTATTCACAAGTCCCTAAAGAAAAACAGAAAACAGATATCTCAATAAGAGGTTAGTAGAAAAAGGTTAATATATCAGTAGGTCAATAAATAAAGAACATGCAATCAAAATTGATCAGCTGCAATAATATAATTTAAAAAATTTATTTTATTTTCAGCTTACTACCAGTTAACAAACTAAGTCACGGTTAATGAATAGAATAGTCAGTAAAACAGAAACATGTTATTCTATTAGAATAAGTTGTTACTTACGTTTTGTTTTGGTTCTAAATTCAGATTTTCGACACCAACATTTTCTTGATATAACTGATATGTTACAGCCAGTAGACGTAAATCAACAGCTGATAATGATCCATAATCACCAGTTTTTTTCGAATAATTTGTGACTAAAAACTATACTCATGTTATTACTTTAGCAAAAATTACAAAATCAATATTACTTACCGAAACGTAGTGCCTCCATGCTTGGCTCTTTAAACTTTAAATCGTATAGAAGAACATTTAATGATTCACGAGTTTTAGTATCACGAATTTCTTTAACAACTTCCTCAACAGTATAAGCAGTATCGGTTAATTTCTAAACAATAAAGATAATATCAATGATATATAGAGATAAAACCCTTTTTCTACTTACATGAAGTGGTGCTTGTCTGATAAATGCACTAGAATCAACAACTAGATGAGTGACACGTTTAGCCATGATGATCTTAATGAAAACGTTATTTTTACAGTTTTTTTCGTTAAAGTCTATTATTTGAGACATTTTTAGATAGTCAACTGAGTAATCTACTGCCAGAAGTAAGAAGTGGATCTTAAAGTTTGATAAAAACCAAATAAATCAGAAATAAAATTTATATTTTCAGAAAAAATAACGCATAGACAAAAAAAAATCAATCAATCCAAAAAAAAGAAAAGAAGAAGACAATGGTGATAAATGTTTCAATCACGTGTTGAATTAAAACGAAAAAATAGTATGTAAACACATACAAAACAAAATGGAATCATCAAGTGATTTTTTTTAATTATAGATTTTTGCATCAATCGATAACGTCTTTTTCATACAAACAGATGTAGAGATAAGAAAAATGAAGTTAAAAGTATAAAAAAGGAAAATATGAACAATACTAAACAAAAATGCATCCGAGAAAGGGAAAGACATGAGTTGACTTTTTAACATAAGAAAACAACTGATTAACTAAAAGTAGAATGGAAAAAAATCAAAAATCTTCTTAGAAATCGCTCGGTTCAAATACTTTAGCAAATTCTATGGTCTTTTCTTTTTTCTTTATCTGCGATTACTTCTGTTAATTTTTAATTCTAATATCTATCAAAAAGTTTTATAACAAATTATAAGTAGTAGATGATCGAAGATAAAAAACATTTTACAAATGACTCATAACATCATGGAAGAATAAAAATGGCCTATAATATTAGTACGTCATAAAATATAAAATACACCAACCAACAATTATCATAACTTATGAATTTAAACTAAGTCAGTCTAAATTTGTCATTTTTTCGTCCAAAAAATCAATACATGGACGGGTACAATAGAGTTTTTTGTTTAAGGCCATGTGAACGAATAAATGCAGTAGAAAAAAAAAAAGGTTTAATATCAGCATCAACAAAATAATAATAATCAGACGGAATCACACATAATACACATAAGCTATACATACACCGATGGATAAAAAATAGGACTGTTTTTGTTTTTTTTTAATAATTGAGTCCACATATGCATACAGATACATAATTATTCACTTGGTGAATCAGTTGCACTATTATTTCCCGGTGATGAATTTTCAATTCCATTGCCATCACCACCACTTCCACTATTTTGATCTTGTGTAATTGAATCTTCCATTTTCGATGGACTGGTTATTGATGTATGACTAGTAGGTTCAAAATGGGCATATTGTTTAGCAGGATTTTTTGGTTTTGATTTATCTGGTTTTCGCCAAAGAACAATTTCCTACAACATAAATAAAAATAGATGATTTTTTTGTACTATAAATTAATATTTTTATCGCTCTTATACTTGTTGTTTAAAATATCTTCGTTCTTCTTCATCGACCAACACTAAATTGAGAAAATATTTCACAGAAAATTTTCGTTGAATATCTTTCATTGTTGGAGTTAAATCATAGCCACCAAGAAATAATCTTATTGGAATACTTTCGCCTTGTAACAAAAAAAAGAAAAAGAGATAAACAAAATGAAATAAGAATATCATGTTGTTACCTCTAACTGGTGCTCCATCCATAATTTCATATTTTGCTATTGTTTCATTTTCAGCATACGCATTTGGGCCAGAACCGGTACTTTCTTTTTTTAATATTGCAATTTCCATATGTTTGATTTTAATACGAACTAATAAAAAATATATTTTACCGACAATAACATCTTTTAAATGATACCTAAAGTAAAATGTAAATGAAACTCAGAGTTGAACAAGTTGGAGATAAAGGATAAATAGAAAAAAATAAAAAGTATATAATTAGTTATAAAAAACGTTTTGTTTTTAAAACTGTATGGAATTTTTATCACACATCATCATTATCATTGTCAAGAAGACTGATGATAAAAAAAAATGTGTATAAATAACATTATAGAACGAAAAAGAAAGTAATCTGTAGCTATCTTACTTAGATTTATTATATTCAAACTCAATATGTAAACAATCTTCGATTCCCACTTCCATTTTAATACTGTTATTGATTTCAGGAAATTGGGATAGTTGATGAACACATATGTCACGTTCGGATACAGTATTTGTAAAGCGTTTGATGATTGTTAAACGAAGAAAATATCTAAAACGAATAGAATAAAAGTTGAAACAAACAAAAGAAAACGAAAAAACTGAATTAGACATACCTTAATTTAACATTGATTCCAGTATATGATTCGAATGGTTTTTCAACATTCGGAAAATGAAAATCTAGGTGGAAAAGAAGAATACACTATTATTTACTACATATAGTATATTATTTTTCTGTACCTATTGATGTGCTCTCTGTTAATTCACCAGGGAATGCTAACAGTTTTGATAAATTAATAAATTCATGTATTGTACTACGATCATTGAGCATTTCTACATATAAACGATGTTCTCATTCATTTTGTACTAGAATTATTGTGAAATAGTTACCAATATGTCCAATAAATTCTAAACGTACTCCTTGATGCTCAACTTTGCCACTTTTTTTCAATTTCAATAAAACCTATATGTAGATTACTTTAAATGAATTATTCATTGAACACAAGGAAAAATAATCTTACTGTTCCCGCAACATCTTCTCCATCATAATAAACATATTGCATTTGCTTTTTTCCATCGTCTGTTTTCACTTCAATTTGTTTACGTTGACAATGAGGATCAAGAAAAAATTCAATATCAACACGCGTACCAAGACCAATCAAATCCTAGAATAAAGAAAATACATGAATAAAATCGATAACAGAGAGAAAGATGAACAAACCATGCTCAAAGATTAATCTTTAACAATCTACAATAGAACAACAACAACGTTAACAGAACTGAAAGTAAAGTATGCGAAAAAAGTTATCTTAAAAATCACCAAAAGGTATTCTCAAGCGTGTAGCAAAGTCGTATGTTTAACGGATACACAATTTCATAGAAATGAGAAGAGGATCATAAACAAAAATAAACAATAACAAAAAAAAATTATTCATTTATTTAACTGAACTAAAAATAGATACTATTTTTTTTTATACAAATAGACAGAGAAAAAAATAGATCAACGAATATCTTGAATTTCAGTGATAATCTTGATCTCTCGCGGCATCATAGTAATAATCTGCTTCATTTCGAACTTCCTGTACATATTGGTCATAGGTTATACTTGGACCATGTTTACTTTTATCATAATATTTTGTTTGGATAAATTTACGGCCACTATAACCGCAACTATGTACATCTGGTTTATCCTTAATAATGAGAAAAAAAGTATATCAACGTCATGCTATGAAGAGTGTATCTGATGATATTACATTATACTCAACAGCTTATGCTTACCAAATTAATATAAACTTTCGGATGTCCTAAAGCAAAAAGAGACAATTAACTCATATTAGTTGATAGGCAAAGAGTTTATTTCTCACCTAATGGTCCACTAGAATCAGACCATACTCCTTTTGTTTTACAAACAACAACAGGATCTTGTGCAATTAAATCAATGGCAAATCGTGAATTTACCTGAATCGAATAACAATCCAATTATTTTGATATAAAGCATCATTTGGCAAATTTTTCTTCTGTACACCAAAATATCTTCAATATTCACTTACAAGTTTTCCTTTGTTGAGAAATCTTGCATTACGATAATCATCACTATCATAAACCTAAAAAACAACAAGATGTTGACATGGCTGATAATTTAGAGAACGATTATTTTATATAACATTTCTAAAAACAATTTCGTTTTTTAACTCGCCTGTTTGTGTGTGACAACTTACTTGTCCGGTATGTGTGGATGTATTAGATGAATATAAATCTTTATTAATTGGTATAACAATACTTTTTTGATCAATATATTCTCTAAACGCTGTTATTTGTCGTTCTTCAGTTAACTTTGGTTTTGGAATAGTTGATTTGAAAGTTTCGGTATGGTAGAGAGAAAAACACCGTCGACTGACAAAACGAAATATTAAAGTCGTCATGTCGATCTAAAATGAAAAATGAGAATTTGTATTGATGTATTGAGCCAGTAGAGTAGAAAGGCAATGTTATGTTAAAAACAAAGAGGATTGAACTTTAAAATGATAATAATGAATTTACTAGAAAGATGGATAAATGGATAAATCATGGAGTTCCTGTTAAGTTGCTCAATCAACTACACAAAAAAAATATTCTCTTCAACAAACGCAGTTACTTTGGTTTAATAATACTGAAATCCACAATAAATAGCTTCAACTTTGCCATTAGTAACTTGCCTCTTGGTGTACTGCATTTAGATGAAGTCAAACAATAATTTGGATTTATTTACAACTGAAAAGATTAACGAAAGAAAGATCAGTGTTTCTAATCATAACGAGAATCTAAAACTAAACATTTTGCAAAGATGTTTGTTTGGATCTAAGGTAAAACGTACAGAAACATCAAATACGTCACTGATAACAAAGAAGAAACAAATATTATCGCTAATCAAAACATATTACTACACTAATCATGAAACACTGTGAATGATGAAGATTTGTTGTTTCCTTCAAATTTCAAATTGTATCTCGAAGAAGAAGATACCGTCTACTTCAATTTGCGTTGATCGTGGCTCCTTCGAGCTATTATTTGGAGTTTAAAGGAAACAGCGATGAAGATTTTTTTTTCTCTTATTTTTCTCCTATCACAGAACGAATGATTCACAATATTCAACGACCTATGAATTTGTGAGTTGCTGCCTTTCAGATATAAATATTAATATGATTGATATAATTATAAATAATAATCATGCAAATAATAAAAAAGTTGTATTCAAAGAATATTTTATTCACGTCTTTTATTTTCTATTCATATAATATAAATATATAGTCAGGTAGTCTCTCCAGTAGCATACACATCCTTCAGACTGATCATGAGACATTTCTGGTCTATTTAGTTTCGTTCTGCCTTTAAATTACAATAAAGTGTAGTGATAGACAGCGCTGCTCAGGAAGATGTTTCATATAAATTCTTAAGTGATTGACTTCACTAAGTCTAGATTTAAGTCAGGCTTAAGTGTATAAAATTAACATGCAAGTGAAAAGAAAAGGGAGACTTAAGTATGACTTAAGTCTAGATTTAGTTAAGTCGAGCACTTACGATTTTTTATGAAACACCTTTCAGGGCTCGATAGGAGTGAGTTCAGTGTTAACTTCTAGTACTAGCATAACTTAACCATTCTAAAGTTTTCTGATTAACTGCGCATTAATGATTAATGCTAGACTCTATGCGTCACTAATACTATAATCACTACAGTGCATGTAGACGAACAAGTCAGCTGCAAGGAACAACGAACAAAAAACAACGTGAGCAATAAATTTCTAGTTAAATTTATCCTTTTGATTATTTGTACTAAACGTTTATACATTTTCTTTGTATTAATAGTTTCTTGTCCAGATTTATAAAATTAATGGTTAGTTTAACTTTTCTTCGGCATTAGTATGAAGTATGAATGCAAGTAAAATTCTCATTATGTTATTCTAATCGTAAATTCTCAAAACATCAAACTAGTGTTGGATAGCTACAGGTTTGAACCGGTGAATTAAGGTCTGCAGCATACTAAATTAGTATTTTATTAAATATTTAATTAGTAATCTTGTTTAACGATTGAAGTTGTGTAATTGCTAAAATTTCTATGCTATTTTTCTGTAGTTTTATTTTTTAAGGAGTCAATTGAAACAGGACTATAGTAGTTATAGTTTCATTTTGCTATTGAAATGACGGACTCAAAAAATTATTGCGTATAGTTTTTTTTCACTTACTAGAGAAAAGTCTTAGTAACCAACCAATCTGAACACAAATGTCATCAAGTTGTCAAGAGTAACAGAGAATTTTTTTACAGATTATATTATCGTTTTGTTTCTGTTGTCGTCTTATACTTTTTTCTCATTTCTATATGCAAAGAACGGTAAAGTTTTTTATTTTTGATAGGTTACAATCGGTGTATTCTTTTCATGTATTGTATGTTTGCATTGTATTAAGTAATAAGTAGTTTTATATACAATATATAGGTACGACTACGATTATTATTAACAATTAAAAATGTTCTATGAATACATTATGTTTATTAGTGATGAACGGTTTGAAATTCTTAACAGAGTATATACTATTAGTTTTCAAAGTAGCAAAAAACCACTAATAAAACTGTCGGGTTGTTGAAACTGTTCGGTTTTTATTGGTTTAATCGTGGAGGTTTGCTTAAGTATACCTTGATAATACGGGATCTAATCCGGGTTTATACCATTTATTTTCTTGTTTATATTTGTTTCTGTGATTGTTAGAGAAGTGTTTGTAACCATTCTGTCCTGATGACTAGCAACAGTTTATAAAGAGAAAAATGGACTTTTTTAAACTCATATTGTTTTTTAAAATGCTAGAAGAGAATAGTTTGAAGTTAGTTACAACATTAGACGTTGTGTGCAAGAAGAGAAAAAAGACACAAAAGTGATTTTTCGACAGCTAAATATTACTGCATTTATTATTGACAGGGTAATATAGTATGTAATAATGTAAAAAATAACCTAACCATAAAAAGACCACACACGAGTTTAGGAAATGTCAATCATAGCATTTCAGTAAATTAGTCAAGAATTTTAAACCGTCCCCAGGAGCGTGCCTGCTGGGGGATGGTTACCACCTACCAAGTCATTGTTTTATGTCTTTCGTTCTTCAAAAAAACAATTTTTTTTGGAAGACCTAAAAACTTTTTGGACAGGACCATCTCGCTACTCTGAGATGCTAGCTACGCCCCTGACCGTCTCAAACTTTTTGAAAAGTCATATTTCGAACTAACAATGGCGTAATGAGTTCTCTGCTACACTTCCATTGGATAATAAAAAAGCATTTGAGTCTTGAACATTCAAAAGGCTAATCTTTTCAACGAGTGTCTTTTACTAATCTTTTACTAATCATAAGAAAGTTTCTGGAACGTTTTAAGTACGATCAGTTAGTTTTATACGTAAAATAAATTTCCAACTCGTTTTTGCCTACAAACTCTTATTCTTTCTTATTCCCACAATTTGTAGAAAGGAGTTCTACAAAACTGACTGAAAAGTATAATTACTCGGTATAATTAGGGTGCGAATAAAGATTAATAATAAGATTAAGATATTCTAACATCAAATGGAGTTAATGCCATCATTGAGAAAAGCTTTAATGTGACTTAAGTAACAAGTACTTAATTTATGATAACAAAGAAAACCTACACTAACACAGTAAACATGAGGAAATTTTTATTTAACTGGAAGAAGGAGTTCATGTTCTCTCTCAGAGGCCAAAAGTTTCCAACAAACACAATAGGAAAGAAACTCAAGACAATAAGGCAACTCTTTTTCTGACTTGGTTGTGACAGAAATTATTCTAGAAACTTTTTTACGTGCAAAGAAATTGTGAAGAATGTTAATTCTACTTAAACATGTAAAAAGGCAAGTTTCAGAGGACAAACTACTGTGAAATATTCGACAAATATTTTTATTTTGCTTTGAATAAGATAGTCGTTGAAAATTAGGTGGATGTAGTATAACTAGAGTATTTTCCTTAGCGAAGCTTTCTATGAAAAGTGACGAGATAATATTAGTTTTTAGATGAATACGTCACTCTCTATGCTCTTTTCGACTAACATGGCTAGAACATGTCAAACATTGTGATAAGTGCGTGACCCTAGCCCCTTTCCCAAAAATATGGAAAAAATTGAAATGCGGATGACCACATTCAACATGACTTAAACATAACACAAGTGGTAGATATTGGGTAACTTTCGACGCACGATGTGCATAATCAAACTCATCCGACGTTTAGATCATGTAGTATTGGCGGAGCTGTGTGGAAATATATTTTAGTTAGTATCTTAGTAAGTTTTAGTTCATCATCAATTTGATTTAAGTTTGAAGCATCTGAAGAGTGAGCTGCATTTTAAATCAACTGCTTCTTCAATCAGTGTAAAATGCAACTTCATCTTATAGTCACATTCACATGCATATCTAAGCCTGTTTTTTTCATGTTAGCGCACTCAGTTCATAAATCAATTGAAAACAATTCGATTTGGCATTATTAATGAAAAAATTAATTTGAAAAGTCTTTATATAAATAAAGTATTTCGATTTATGCAATCCTTATGTTAAATTTCCGTTGACTTAAGTGCGACTTGTGAACGATCTCATCTTAGTTCGATTTATCTCAAAGATGCGGAGATTGTGCATGCAAATGTGGCTTACGATACATTAAAAAAAAACACTGTTCTGTTGTTGAAAGCACGGATATGTTGAGGGGACAGTACACGTTAGTTATTAATTTCTTTTCTCTTTTGCGCTCTTTATAGTACCTTGCCACACGGTCAAAAGAACTTTTCATTTTTGTATTTAAACTTCAAAAACAACTCAAAGTACTTGAGAATATCTAGTGCAAAATTAATGTTTGTTCTCTAGACGAATGCACATGCAAAGAAAAACATGTTATCATGCACACAATAGATTATTACTACGCTACGATCTTTTTACTCACCATTAAGAATTTTCTATATAACCGCTGTTAACGTCTTGAACGTGATTCACGACGATCCGACAGATAAAAATAGCTCATTTTTCCACTATTCTAGAAAGATGAGTCTTATAATGACGTTTTTCATATGTCGATTTTATTGTTTTCAATTCGATAGTTTTCTGACAAAAACCGAGCGAGTTGTGTGCTAAATTCAAAGAAATTAGCAAGTTATTGAAACTGTTGTACAAAAGTTATCCGATGATGTCTTTAAGTAATATTTTCTAGTTCTCTTCCATTCTCTTAATAATGACGAGTATTAATCGCGATTAACTTCGCAGTTATCCTGTAAGTTAATCATATTCAAACTAATCGTGATTAAGAGTATAGTGCAATCGTAATGTATTTTCCTAATATTTTAAATCTTTTACTTTTCGTTTTTCCAGTGGTCTGAAAATACATAGTCTTATAGTATAGTATCACTTAATTTCACAAAATATTTGCTTATGTTCTATTTCTTTTATTTTCAAGCTTATTCAATTTTGAAGTTTTACTTAGAATATAATTTATGAAAAGTTTAACTGAGAAATGTTTATCGTATAGTAGTTTTCAAATGATTATCTTTCTTTCAGTTTTGTATTCCTTGTTCTGATACTATGTCTTGATTTGAACATTACCCATCTTTCGAACAATGTCGAATAATCAAGATATTCCAAATGCATCAGAACAACAGGCGAATATTCACTCGGCTTCATCACCTGCCAGTCTTATGTTGGCCATGATGAACGATCCTCAATTTTCTGATCAAATTCGCCAAATGAATCCTCAATTGTTTGCACGTATGATGAGGATGCCTTCATCCCCGCAAGATTTATCTTCACCAGATCAAACGGTTGATCCATCTTCTCACGACTATAATCATGGACATGGTCATAGCCATTCTCATTCTGGTTCATGTAAACATGCGCATGGTGGTCCACGAATGAATAATTTTATGCGTGCAACTCAACCTATTTCAACAGTACCTCCAAAACTACCACCATCAACGGAAATGAAAATAGTACAAGCTGTTCAATATGGTGAAATAGAAAGATGTAAACAATTAATTGAAAGTGGTCAAGCAGATGTTAATAGTCCAGATGAAGAAGGTTAGTTTTAAAATGCTATCTGTAATAAAATGTGCGGTGTCTCTCAGTGTAAAACTTCTGATTCCAACACTGAGCGAAATACTATTATTTGTTTTCTATTAAAAGAGTATCAATTTTGGAGTTCTGAAGAACAAACATATTTAAACTGTACAAGATTTTTTATTGTAGGCTGTTATTTATTACATTGGGCGTCTATCAATAATCATGTTGAGATCGTTAGATATTTGATTGAAAAAGGTGCAGTAGTTGACATCGCTGGTGGTGATTTACGTTCAACTCCACTCCATTGGGCTTGTCGACAAGGTTGTTTAGAAACATTTTTTCTTTTGATTGATAATGGAGCATCCATTGAATCCCAAGATTCATGTGGAACACAATCGATCCATCTAGCATCACAATACGGTCAGCTCAAATTAGTTGCTTATTTACTGAGTAAGAACACTAACCTGTTATATAGTTGTTTAATAGTCAAATTACTCTGCTTCTATTCTAGGTCAAGGAATCGATGTCGATTGTAAAGATGGTCAATCTTTTACACCGTTGATCTACTCGTGTATGGGTTCGCCAAATACCTACTATTGTGCGACTCAAATTTTGCTGTCATTCGGTGCTCAAATCAACTATCAAGAACCGAAGCGACTCTATACGCCATTACATTTTGCTATAAGTACAAATAATGCAGTTGCTACAAGAGTTTTACTACGACACCCACAAATTAATCTAACATTAAAAAATGTTGATGGTCAAGATCCACTAATATATTCGGATAAAATCCGAAAGAATGCAGATGCAACTTATCTAATACAAGAAAAACTAAGTGATCAAAAATTACATGTAAAAGGACCAACAAAATTGAAACGAATATCTGCAGATAGTAAGTAAAATAAGATAGAAATAACCTGAATTATTAGAAAATATGTCATCGTTTTAGGTTCATGTCGAAAATGGTTGACTCGTTTTTATATTTTATTTGTTTTGAGTTACATTGGTTTTATATTGAATTTGGTCACTTATTCTTATTTAGCTCGATTTCTTCTCATCATTTCTACTGTTGTTCTCACATATAAATTTTTTTCCTATTATTTTTTTGATCAATATACTCGTGATAATTTTGCCTTCTCTTATGTACTTTCATCATCATTACTCATGTGGTTAACTTACATGAAATATTTTCAACACAATTTTACAGACTGGAATACTCTTGAACATTTTTGCTATCATGTATTTACTATTTATGGTATCTATTGTATTTATTGTATTAAAAAAGTCAATCCGGGATATTTACGAAGAATTTCTGATAATAAACAACGAGAAAATGTATGTATTGAATTTGCCAAAGATTCAAAATGGACTCCGGAACATTTTTGTGTAACATGTATTATTCGTCGACCACTGAGATCAAAGCATTGTCCAGTTTGTCATGCATGTGTAGAAAAATTTGATCATCATTGTACTTGGTAAGTATTCATATTATTTCTTAATAACCACATGTTAAAGTCATCATCTTTAAATGTTAAAATATAGATAGATAAATAATGCTCTAGTTCACTTAAGTTAATAAAGTGTTTTATTGATATATTTAGGCTTGATGCATGCATTGGTGGTCGTAATCATTTTTATTTCATTCGAGTATTAACATTTGGCACTTGCGCTTTGTTTTTATGGATTAAACAAGGATTTTCATTATTGGCAAGTCAACCCTCCCTTTCCTTATGGGATATACTCGTTGTCCAATTTGATCCATGGTTTGTTTATATTTCTATTTTGACGATTTTCAATACATTTTGGGTGTTGTTTATGACTCTATTTCATCTGTACAATTCAATTATTTACGGTGTGACAATTAATGAAAGATTGACACGTTTTCGCTACGATTATTTCCGGGATTCATCTGGAAAATTTAAAAATCCATTCAAACAAAGTGTAGTGCAAAACTTTCTAGAAACATTTGGACTTTTTCGCCTTCTTTACATGTGTAATTATAAAATGATAGATTGGGCGAAAGTTTACGATTTGAATGATATCCAGTTGAGTTCAAACAACAAAATAAGTTAGTTCTTATATCGTTGTGGTGTATGATACATTCTTTTTCGACTTGTTATTAGAAATAAATTATTTTGTAATTTTTAGAACTACTATACAATTCAACATAAAGGATATTCTTAAAGAATATAATTATTTCCTTGGCATAAAACAATGAAATCATTAGAATTATATGGCGAACTATATTCCTTTTTCTTCAAATGATATGCAGACGGTTAAAACGAAGAATATACATATGAAAACATTCACACATATTGTCTTAGAAAATAGTATCTCTGTTGTGGAGATATTTTGTTCATTCAATCCAACACGCAGAAATCTAGACGATTACTCAAACAAGAGATCTATTTGTCACAAGCTGAACGATTCTTTAGAGTCCGAAATGGCTCTAAATTTTTTTATTAGTCATATTTTTACAATTATCAAAATTTTAATTATCAATTAATCACATTTTTGGATAATACTGAGAACTGGAATTTTTTCTTCGAAGAAGAGCATCTGTTAGAGTAGGAAATGCATTTCTATGGATGAGCATTAAATGATGGAATCTTTACTAGTAATATTTTATTATAATAATAATTATTGTTTGTGAATGTTCAGGATAGTTTTCAACCTTAGCAGCAGAAAAACATGTCAAGTAATCACCTTTGTCAAAATGTAGCATCTAGAAAACTGATATTTTAGTCTAGTACATCATCATTACCATCATCACTTGGCTGTTCTCGAGCAGGCGACCACGATCTTCTTCCATTTGTGCTCACTCTTAGCATCATCTACAATGCCCATCACTTTCCAATACTTCTTATCGCGAATACCATTGTTTAGCAAGTTCACCACATAACCAAAATAGTCCTGTGGATGCTTCCCTACATTGTTTGTACTATGCATTCGTTGATATAAGCCAAATTTTCTCAAGGACTCAGCATCTGAGCGTCTACAAATATGTCCTACCCATTCGAGCCTAGTCTAGTGCATTACTTGTATGAAACTTGCACTCTGTACTTCGTTGTTGAGTATGGAGATCAAGTACAAAACAAACATTATCACTAGAGTCTAACGTTTTGAATGCTTCCTGATCTGCGCTAAAGTACTAGGTCGATTTCTCAAATCGCGGTAGATTGAGATACATGGTCGTCATTAGAGATTTATACACTGATTATATATATATATTCACGATTATGATAAATGGTAAATCTGTAGAGTCAGTCTTCCGAAAACGAGAAATTAGGAAACCTGTTTCTTAAATAACGAGAAGGAATGTGTATTTTTAGATTATGGTTTCAACGTGTCTGGAAAAGAAAACAGTTGTTATATAAATGCGCACATAGAATTTATTTTTATACATTTTTGGTTTAAATGTCACACAGATCGTCATATATTCGGATATAAATATGAGTTTATAACAATCATTTTTATCTAACGTACTAGTCTGATTGCGACCGTGTGCAATATACTTGCTATATAGTTGAATGAATACCATTACAACCATACATGAACAAACACAAACATTGTCTTTTATGCATGAAGGGATTTCTGCAAGGATGTTGTCTTGCATTTGTTACAAGAGCCGTGCAGACGGAAAAAAAAGATACATTTGTAATCCAAATTTTGAGTTTTCTTTTCTTTTCATATAGAAAAAGGAACTAGCTTAAGAGTCCTATTATAACTTGTTCTGCTTATTTTCTTATAACACAGGAAAGTTGAACGTTGTGGAAATTGAGGGAGTCATAATTTTAGACCCTTTATGTCAAAATCACTCTACGCTGTAAAAAAATCCGTATTTTAAAAAACACTTAAAGCGTTCGGGAAATTGAAATCACACCGAACGGATAAAAGTTTACGAAAGTACCCTTAAAGCGTTCCGGAAAGGGTTTTTCATATCTCTAAAACCCTTTCGTCGTTTGGTATAGTTTCAGTATCCCAAAAGCTTTAAGCGTTCGGGAAAGGATTTTTATTATCACTATAGCGCACTATTATACTCATAGATTTCTGCATCGAAGTGTCGTGCCATTTAATCTTCAGGAAAGTAGCTTCTTAGTGACCGTCCATATTTACAGTCATCTGTTTTTCTATTTATAAGTATCTACCCTCTTTTCACAAATTTCAGTCCTACACTTGTCTGCCGTTAGAGAGAGAAATTGTGGATTTACCTTTGAATTTTTGGATAATACATCATTAATAAATGTTTTCAGCCATACAAGCATATCATCAATTATCCAGTGGAATATATTCATTCTCGTTAAGTTCAGGATGATCCGAGGACGGTAGGTAGGTTAAGCTGAAAAGTGACTTCTCGGTGGACGAGGACCCATCGCCCCATAGACAACTCCTAGTTGATTCAGCAAAACAGCGAGTTCTTCTTTATCGCCTTCTTCTATTCTCTCAAGTAGAAGTTCGAAGTCGATATTTTAATATTTTTTGTATTCGCCCATTCTCGTCGCCCATTCTCGCCCATTCTCGTCAAGTCGATGTAGACTGTTCGGTCCGCGAAGATATTGCCGCGTGTACTCAGTCAATTGCTATAACAGAGCAGCACTATCACTGGTCACCTGAAGGAGAATGTATCCACAGTCCAGTTTCCATTTCGTACGTAGAAGAAATTTGAAATACGAGGGGTTAATGGAGAAGGGCACTTCACTTTCCGTCTTGAAGTAACTGAACTTGTCAAATGAAAGCAAAGCGACTCGAATCGAGTGAAGGATCGATGTTCAATTTCGAACAAAATGCTGAGCCCAACGACACTTCTGACTGGGACAGCCTAAGCGTTTGTTTATCTTCTTTCTCGGTTTCATTATTTCTATCCATCGACAACGTTGATTCTGCATTAGACAATTTCGAAACTTTTGTAAACAATTCGATTGATTTACATGTGCCTCTCAAACCGGTAAAGCAAAACGAGAAATTATTTTTTCAACCCAGCAGACAATTCTATGTTTTTTGCCATCATCAAGATAAACTTTTCGTCAAGGGTAGGACTAATCCATCCCAGTCGAATAAAGTAAAAGCTTAAAATTCTTAGAAATAAGACAATAAGTGAGTTGAGAAAGAGTAAGCGTGCATATTTCGAGAAATTGGCGAGGAACTGTACTAATTCACAAGATTTCTGGAAGGGTATAAATTGTGCTAAGGATGGCAGCTCAAATTTACCAGCTACAGTGTCTTTGGAAAGCAAGTCGGCTAAAGACGATGTATCAAAACCCAATCTTTTCAGTGAGTTTTTTTCAAAATGTTTTTCTCCAAAAAAAGCTGACCCCCATTTCAAACCAAAAACAGTGATCAATGACATTTTTTGTTTAATTCCAGCGTCGAAAGAGTAAATTTTTGAGGCTGTAAACAGTTTAAGGAAGGACTTAGCATCAAGGCCAGATAAGATATCTATTCTGTTTTTGAAAGAGTGTGTGTTAGAACTTCTCGACTTTATTCATCACTTATTTTGTATTCATCCGGCTAAATGGAAATATGCCGATGTGGTACCTGTACATAAGAAACGTCCGAAAGCGCAAGTCGATAAATACAGACCTGTATCGCTGGTTTCTATTCCCAGTAAAATTCTTGGATGCTTTATCTACAATAAAATGTTTGCGTATTTGTCAAAACACAGCTATTTTTTACCAGTTTAGTTTGGTTTTCGACCTAAGTCTAGCACAGATGATGCTTTACTCTATCTTACATACAAAATCTAAATTTAGAAGCGGGAATTGATTCTACGTTAGTATTATTTGATCTTGAGAAAGCTTTTGATTGCGTACCTTGTCAGATACTTCTCACAAAACGTTCTAATTTAGGAGTGAAAGAAAACACAGTCAGTTGGTTTGAAAGTTACTGAACGGGTCATAAACAACGTGTGCATGTTAGATCATCTTATTCGCACTTGGTATATGTGCCGTCGGGCATTCCACATGGTTCCATTCTTGGTCCACTCTTATTTTTAATTTCGTTAACCACTTGCCAACATGTATTTCCAACCCCACTGTATCAATATTATTTGCAGATAATTGTTCGCTCCTTTCTCCTTTTACTACTGTTTGTACTGCCCATGAATGTCAAAATTTCATCACTAAATTAGAAGATTGGTGTTCCTTAAACCTTATGTCGTTAAAGTATTCTAAATGTAATTGGATCTATTTTACTAATCGCTTTTCTTCTATTGCCAATAAACTATCTTTTTCAGTTAATTCCACGGCAATCAAATGTGATGAGACTGTTGTTCTTTTTGGAGTAGGCTATCGCATGATCAAGTGAGAAACGCATATCAATGATATAGCTTTAGCTTGTAGAAGACGACTCGGTGTAATGTACAGGGTATTCAAAATGTTCCTCAGTCTATTCGTTTAAGAATATATAAGTCATGCATTTTGAGTAAGTTAGATTATTGTTGTGTGGTGTTTACAGTTATTGGCATAGCTCTCTGTTTTAGATAAGATTACGACGCTAGCAGCAAGGCTTATCTGTAGAAAGTTTAACGGCAAAATATAATATAATATAATATAAAATGTAATAGTCAGTGGGATTGATCTTTCATATAAATCCGTTGTTCAAAGTTCAATTTCACAATTCTTTTGAACAACATGTTAGTGCTATATGGTTTATTAAGGGTAAATTACTTTCTTGATGTGATTCTGTGTAGGTTTTTTATTCTTTTTATTTTTTGTGAAGTTTTTGTTTACTTTCTCTAGTTAAGGTGGTGGAACTAGGTATAAGATTACACTTTTTCCTGCTTTCCTGTGCGACAAACTGTATTTTTGTTTTTTCTAAAAACAAAATAAACTCAATTTAGTTCAGTTCTCGATTTTTGCTCGTCGAAAGAAAAGAGGTGAACGACAGTAATATTATATATATATATTATTCTTGTCAACAGTGCATATTGTTCTAATGACAGCCTGAAGCATTCATGCTCCTTTTCTACTTTCTACTTCCACCACTTCAATCACAGATGAACAGTAACTGATTAACTCGCTTTAGAAAAAAGAGAAGAAAATGTCAAAGTCTAACCAGGTCGAAAACAACTGACA